AAGAGAAATATTCCTTCTTTGAAGAAATATGATAAGAACATGCAGAGTCAATAATCCATAGAGATTGTTGACTAGTGGAACACTCACTGAGACCAGCATGAGAAATCAGCGCACTACCATCACCAAGTGCGTCACGTCAGCATGCAAAAGCTACTGAAACACCTCCCGTATCGTCTTTCCTCATCATTTCTAGCCTCGGCTTCCTTCTTTCCCACTTCTGCAATGCCTTTTGACATACCGGCTTGCCACAGATTGATAGCAATGTGGACACCTTCCTTGACTTGGATCTTCTCCGGTGAATGTCACTGTTGTCTGGATTTTGGGTATCTTGTTCTGCCTCCCCCTTCTTCTGCTAACTGTAACGATGCATTGAGTTGCTACTCGTAGCATTCTTCCTTCCGTCCTGGTTTTCTTGCATTCAGGAAGCTTCCTTTTTTTAAAAAAAAACAAAAAATTGTAGTTAAGGTCCAGATCCCTCTCTCTGACACATTACTGAGCGTAACAGTCAACGTCTCCCAACTGTCCGGCAAGGAACTCAATAAGAATAGTGCCTGCACCTGGTCGTCAAACACTATCTTTGATGTCGTCAATTGGTTTACTATTTCTTGAAATTTGCCCAAATGATCTGAAGCACTTTCGCCATCTCTATACTTTAGATTTACAAGCTTTTTAATTAAAAAAGCTTTGTTCTAGGCATTCTTCCGCTCGTACATGTCCTCCAACTTCTTCCAAATTGAATAGGCATCTTTCTCATGAGCGATATGATTTATGACGCTCATTTCAACATACTGCCTAATAGTTGCGACTGCTTTTCTGTTAATTGACTTAATTGACTTCCAATCGCTTCATGTTATTGAAGTTGGTCTGACCCCTTGTCAAACTTCAAATTGTTTCAAAGAAGATTTTTACAGGCATTAGAAATCTTCCATTGAAATCTTCCGATACTGCCATAGTTTGATGAGTTGAGTCTAACCCCATTTTGCCTGTTTTCTGTCGTCCATATTTTACTTGTGAGAATATTAACACCAACAGAAAACCGTTATACTAAATAGTAGTATACGTGAATAGTGACCGTATGATTGAATAGTAACAGTATACGTAAACAGTACCTGTATGCGTGAATAGTAACTGTATATGTGAATAGTACTATGCATGAATATTGCTGGGCCTATTTGAAACGGACTCAGCAACAGTAACGCCAATAGTACTGTTCACTATCAACTTTGAGTTACTATTTTACTATTCATCTGCACGGACCATCCAACCCCGAATTAGTATGATATTGTCCGCTTTGGGCCAAGCCCTCACGGATTTGTTTTTGGGCACCCCCAAAAGGCCTCATACTAATGGGTTGGGTTTGAACCATTATATTGTGGTTCTACTTCTCACATTTTTCCGATGTGGGACTTGGGAGGATATCACAACAAACCTCCCCTCCAACCAAGGACCACACAAATCGTGACCTCCCCTCCAGGGATAATCTGCCCACCATCTTGTACCGCCGCTATAACTTTGCCTTTGCAGACACGCTGCCCGACCTCCTTGTCGGGAAATGACTTTCGACACGACACAAGGCACCACTTGCAGATCTTCTTCCGGTCTTGGTCCTGTTGTTACAACGTCACACCACCGGTCTTGGTCCTGTTGTTACAACGTCACACCAGGATTTTCTCACACTGCGCAGTCCGCTGTTCACACCCGCTTCGAACCTGAGCTTTGATACCACTTGTTAGGCCCGGCAATAAAACTACGATAATAATAACACAGCGGAAAAAATAAATATGACACATAGATATTTACGTGGTTCACCCTTAACTGTTTAGGGCTACATCCACCGGACAAAAACCGAATAATTCTTCCACTATTTAAAAATAGTAGGCTTACAAAGAGAGTAATACAAAATAGTGGCACTCAAAAAGTGTTTCCCAAATTATCGGCGTCACTATTCTCTCTACCCAGTTTTTAGACACCCCAATTCTAAAAACTCAAATTCTCTCAAAACACTCTCTTGATTGCTCGGTTTGTGTAGTAATTGAAGCTCTAGCACCGTCTCCTATTATAGAGAGGTGGAAGCTTGATTTTAGGAGAGGTGGATGCCGTGGGATTTAACGCGTCCATCCACTACCAAACGGTATCCATCCTTACCAAAGAATTTCTTCTTTTTCAACTATGTGTGTGTGGGTAGCGCATCGCCACCACCCAATTAGGAGAGGTGGATGCGTGATTAACGCGTCCACCTACCAACGTATCACTTACCAAAGAATTTTTCTTCTTTTTCAACTATGTGGGTGTGGGTAGGCATCGCCACCACCAACAAATAATTTGTGGGTCCCACTGAGTGGGCACCTCACAACAGAGATTAAGGTCCTAGGTTTTGATATTTGACAGAAATTAGGAGATTGATTTAAATTGTTATAATTATTAGAAATTGAAGTTAAATTGAGCTTCCTCACTGACTTGGGAATATTTTGGTTATAAATTTGCTATTTTTGGTGAAATTGGATTTCGCCGACCACCGTTGACGGTGGCGCCGACGGCGGCTTCGGTGACCGGAGTGCTTAGAGGCAGAAGGTTGCCCCTCTTATATAGGTTCTGGATATGCAATTAGTTTGATAATCTGACACCGTTAGGTACTTGAATTGATAATCGACGCAAATCCGATAAATGGGCATAAAAGCCGAAAACTTCTAAAAATCTATAGAACGAGATTGATTACGAACTTAAAGAGGTTTATATAACTAGTTAATCAAGTAAGCGAACTGGAACCAATTAAATTATGACAAACTGGCAGTAAACATCATTGTGATTTAAGGTGTTTAGTTTATAATACCCAGTAGTTTATATTGGACACATCAATGACATGAGTTATTTGTTTATTAACTTATTATTTTTAGCACGATATAACTTTAATCCAAGTCATAGTTTGATATGTGAAACCTAGGCATGGCCACCGGTTCGGTTCTAACCGGAACCGAACCGTACTGTAGACGAACTGGAACCGGACCGAAACCGGCGATTCATAATTTTGAACCGGAACCGGTAATTTTGCAACCGGAACCGGCCGGTTCAAGGCGCCGGTCCATAAGGTTCATGTGGCATGGTAAAATATGAACCCAGAAACCGGCCCGGAATCAGCGGTATTCCCGGTCCGCGTTCGAACCGGAATACACAAACAATTGTAGCGTTAAAATTTTTCTTATAAAAAACTTTTATATCAATTGATCTTGGATCCTGCTTAGTCTGATCATTGATTTTACGGCTGAAAGAGAACGCTAACATGGTATATGAGTATAAATAAATTGTTGAAAAAATAGCACATTTTTTGACTTCAATTTATATAAAAAAATGCGATACATGAAATCAGCTTTCGACTTTATTCAATAAAAAGAAAATACTCTTTAAGTGTTACACAAAAAAGAGCCCCTGTAACGGATACAACTTCTTTAGATATGCATAGGTGTTTTTTTATTTATCTTTTTTGCGTACAATCAAAATTTTATTCATTTTAATCCATTTCATTTTATTACTTTCACCTGTATATTTACTGTAATTTACTAAATTATATAAAGGACAATTTGGAAAACTAATAAATGAGACACATGTATAAATATGATGAGTTGATGATTTTTTTATTTCACAATCAATTATATCCTAAATCTTCTCTTATTCTCAATCAAAATTCTCTCAAATTTCCATAGTTCATTATTTTTTCTATTGCTTTATTTTCCTTAATGTTGGAATTATCTGTTAAAGTATTACTGTGGGTCCCTCCAACATATGAGACCCACACGGTTTGAAGAAATAAAAAGGAAGAAGAAAATTTGTTTTCGGTGGACGCGTTACATCTTTCGATTTTTAAAATTAATTTTCTTAGGTTATTTGAAAAATAATAATCTTCCACAACTCATTCCATTAATTTTATACCCACTTTATAGTTTTTATATTAGTAAATTAGCAAATTTTGAAAATTTAACTGTAATAATAGTTCTTAGTTCAGTTAACTAGACTGGCTTTGTCTTTCTTTTAAAATTTATCAAAATTCATTTAACTTTTAAAATTTATAATAATTCATTTAGTTAATAAAATTTAAACATTTTAAAATTATTATTTATTCATGAATTCGGAATCAAAAATTTTATTTTTTTTTAAAAATTTGCGTAATGCCGGAACCGAATCGGAACCGTAATTTGAACTGTCGGTTCGCCGGAACCGTGCTGAACCGTGCCGGAACCGAACCGAAATCAGAGGTTCAAGGATCGGTTCCGGTTCAAAATTTTAAACATCTCGAATCGGCGGTTCAGTGAACAGGAACCGGCGGTTCACTGAACCGGCCATGCCTAGTGAAACCTTTGGCCCTATTGATTTCGAATACAAATCAAAATATAAGGATAGGAATAATTTTATGTGTTATGTTTAATATTAGGTAAGAACAAGCAAACTTACCCGCTCTTTGCTGCGGATTAAAATTAATTTTATCGATATAATCATTAATTTTATTAATATAATTACTATTTATTGTTTACTCAAATTTTTATAAGAAAAAAAAAATATTCATTTTATAGATTTTTTTTGTTTCACTATTTCTTATAAAAAAAAAATATTCATTTTATAGATTTTTTTTGTTTCACTATTTCTTATTAAAAAAATTACTAAATTTATACAAAAGACTCATTTTCATACCTTTACATTTTTGAAGTTTTTCCTTTCAAAGAAAAAACTTTTGTTATCTATCTATCTATCTATCTATAATCCTGAAGCAAAAACAATTTTCAAACAGCTTACTTGATACTCCATTCTTTAAGCATTTCTATTTTTCTTTTTTTACAAATTTTCTAACTTTTTAATTAATTTTTAAATATTTATTTTTTTCATATTTAATCTAATATATACAATATCTAAAATTTTAAATAATTAATAGTTTAAAATTTTTGAATTTTGATTAAAACTTTTAAAACTTTTAAAATTTTTTTCCATATATTTTAGTTTTATCATTGAAGAAATACATAGAATGGATAGAAATTCAAAGAAATTAGTGCTAAGCAAGTATTCTAATTTGCTTAAGAATGCTGATACAGTTTGATAAGCTTATCCATAAAAAAGAATTGGTAACAACAAAGAAAATCGCATAAAATGGCTAAAAGTAGAAATATGTAGGAGGAGATGGACGTGATTCTTGTGGTCTTTAAGGAAAGCATGATCAAAAGCTGGTTGATAAGCCATGTGAACACAGTCTATGATATCCCCGTCTAGACTCTGCATAGCCATAAAAAAAAATAAAAAGATATCCATAATTATAACGCAAAAGTTTTTCACTCAAATAAATTATGAAATTATGTTTAAGGTAATGACTGATCTTGATGTCTTCAAATATGTACAAAAAAAAAATATATATATATATATATATCAGATTTAAAAAAAAAAAAAAAAAAACTGATCTTGATGTCTCTCATCAATATGTACAAAAAAAAAAAATATAATATATATATATATATCAGATTAAAATAAAAAAAAAATAAAAAAAAAGGCAAAAGAACATACAAATAAATTAAATGGAAAAAAAAAAAGGCAAAAGAACAAAATAAATAATGGGAGCTATCATTAGCATTTCAGTTCTGCTTGATTATATTGAAAACACATATTTCAGTTGCCTTCTTTATCTCTTAATAACTATCCAAAAAGAAATGATTGCAGAGGGGGAGAGAGAAAGGAGAGGAAGGTAATAATCAGAAAATCATTGATTCTTTAGAAATCTAAACTTTTAGCTAAAGATAAAAAATAAAAAAATTGATGGACATTATAGAACAAAAAAGTTGAAGGAATACCCATTTGATTGATGAGAAAATGCAGGAAATCAAAAGAATATGAAATCACATTTAAAATATTTATTATTTGAACTATAATTTCAAAAACCCAAAACAAATTTGCCATATAAACACTCCCAGTGGAACCACTGTCAGGCTTAAACCTTTTGGCAACCAAAATCCAACAAAGAAACAAAGAACTCCAATGTTAAAACACACTCTCTTTCGCTTTTCTTCCAGTTTCTTATAAACCAAACACGTTTTAGAGAAAGAGAGAGAATACTTCAATGCTCTTAACAACAGGTTTGCTCTTAAGAGAATACCTGGGTTGTGATAATAACAATCAAAGAAACAAAGAATGTGCTATGCTTCTTAAACATCTCAATAACAGTACCAACATGAATGACATAAACACTGCCAACTCTAGAGTTAGCAAAGATAGCATATACTAAAGAAATATAAAAGAGAAAGCAAAAGCTGCAGCAACCCATATTGTCAAGGACCTTATGTTTCATTATTTAAAGCGGTAAAAATTTCATCTTTCTTAATTTTGTTTTCTACATCAGCACTTGTTGTTTTGTTTTTGGGGAGGCACAAAACTGCTGCTGCTCCTAAACAGTTCAGGTAACAAGTTTCTTTTTTTTTTTTTTTTTTTTTTTGCCCTTGCCTTCCTAAACAAGCTTCCACCAACCCGTCACACAAGTTTCTTTTTTTTTATTTTTTTTTTTTTTTTTTTTTTGTTTAACTATCAAATCCGAATAGCTTTTAATTTCTTCTTCTTATTTTATATGTAATGCCAACAATCTATCCAAACTAACCAAACAAAGTAATTATCCTTTTTATGCATGATTCCGTGAAAGAATGAGGCCACTGAGCTCAGTAATTGAAATCTCTAGGCATGCTTTGTGTAAACTTTGTATAACTTATTGCCAAACCACCGAATTAGAAGAACTAATAGATCTAATTATCTCCAATCATAAAAAGCTCAAGGAAAAAAAATCTTCAATAGCCAAACAAAACAGACTTTCACTACAAATACCAAATCCTCAAATAGAAATCCACAAAACAAATATATACTCATAATTTCAAAACCATAACAAATAATTTAGATAATTAAAACCCTGATTACTAAAATTTAGGTCTAAGCTTCGTTAGTGTGAGTTCAAGATCAAAATTCTCCTATTTCTAGGCCATCAAATGCATCGAGATACAACAAAGAAAAAGTAAATATAAATATTCAAAGAATCTAATTAACTCAGATGAACATATCGAGGGTATGCAGTAACTTCAAATATAAAATCTAGCAAGAAATCTAGAGATGGGTTTCATGCAAAGCAAAAAAAAAAAAAAAAAAAAAAAATCTAGCAAAGGAAATCTAGAGACTGGGCTTCATCTGCAAAGCAAAAAAAAAAAAAAAAAAAAAAAAAAAAAAACATGCATTTCCTCTTAATCTTCAATATTTCATTGCTTGAACAAGAAGGAAAATTAACAATTTTGAAATCTTCTGCCCTACAGCTGTTTTTCAACGGTTTCTTCAAGCACGCACAGAAAAAAAAAAAAAAAAAAAAAAAAAAATGATTTCTCTAATTTCAATTTCATTGTGAAAAGAAGGAAAATTAAAATTTGAAATCTTTGCCCTAAGTGTTTTTAAGTTTCTTACAGAAGAAAAAAGAAAACAATACAAATTAAAAAGAGAATTAAATGCAAATAAAAAAAAATTACTAGAAAGAGGAGGTATAATCTAGTAGAAGCAGTTCATAGAAATAGAAAAGAAGAGAAGGTGAAGTCGGCAGGGAAAAGGAAGAGATTGTGGTCGGTGGAATTTAGAGAATGTGAAGCAGCGTTTTGTCTGTAAATGACCGATGCAAAGAAGGGTGAAATAGGAATAACATAAAAAGGACTTGGTTAAATTGGTATAACACTGTTCTATGAATAGTGATTTTGGATTTCGTTTTAGTGTATATATATATATATTAATAAATTGGAATTTTGATATATTACTATTAAATTAACTATTAGCAAAGGTAAATGGGCGATCTTTGACTAGTAATAATATGAACTGTGTAAATGGCGGATGGGGATTAGACGCTGTATATTGCCCGATGGATGGGCTTTATAAATTGATATTAATTTGTGATATTCTAATAGGTTGTCAAGTCTAGTTTCAAGGGAGACTGTTGGATTTCCGATAGGATTTTCAAAATTCTAAAACAAATAATAGTGATAATTAAATAGTTTAAATTGGAATTCTGTTAGCAACTTCTCTTTTATTTCCATTATGATCTTAAATTTCTCGGCTCCTCTTCAACTCCTCCGGATCAAGGATAAATTGCTTTCTTTTAATGTTGTGGTGAGTAATAATAAATAGTGCCATCTTCATGATACATAAATCATTTATTAAATGAAGGTATGTTTATTTAATATTTAAGTGACTATTTCTATTTATTAAAAATATCTATATGCTTGCATATAAGTTGTTTTTGATGAACTTGCATTGATTTGTATTGTTTGATTAATTGCGATGTGATAATGATTTGCTTTGTTTGTATGGAATTGGGATGAAGCGGGTCACCGTTGGGTTTGTGAGGCCGGTCTATGATACCGTCAATCATATATGGGAGATCGGCGCCTCTTGTACATCTGATGAGATATATTATGTGGAAAACCACAGGATAATTTCCTGATGGTAACGGAAAAGAAAAGAGAGGGTTAGTTAAGTGAGGATTAAACCGATCGGCCATGTATGGAGATTAACCCCCTGATGCACACGTTATGAGAGGACAAGCCATGTGTGAGGACGGCTAGCTGGGGGGTTTTGATGACCTTATAGACCAATCTCCACTTGTTTGATTATATAAAGATGATAGTGTTTGTGGCTGCTGTTGATGTGTCGTATGTGTTTAAATGAATGTTCACTTTTATATTACCTAGGAGCCTCTTGTGTGACTGTCTGGATTTGTATTATTTATTATTACTCAATGAGGCACTAGTTTTTCAAGAATCAGGGTTACTGCCTCTACATGTGCCAGAAGCTCTATATTCTTTCCTGTACATAGCTAGATAGGATAAAGTCAATTGAATATTCTTATTATTGTATATTTTGTATCTGCAATTACAATAGGAAAATAGCATATGTAATAAGATATTCAAAAATGTCTAATCTCCAGAAATAATGATTTGAAAAATTTGTGAATGAAATCTTGCGTTGAGAATATTGTCTGGTAAGCTCCATAGGTACTTTTATGCATGCTGAAAGATTAATCATTATAGAGGCTGGGGTTACTATGAAATGTTGAATGATGATGCTATATTGAATTGGGCCTTGATGAATAACCTTATTGGACTTGATGAATATTATTGGTGTCAAAGGCTTATTACGAGTTTTGGTGGTTTTAAGCCTATCTCTGGGCTCTAGCTCATGATAGGGTTGTGACAATTACATAACCCAAAATTGATGTTTTTGATCCACCGACGAACCCTCAACCTAAAGAGGTGCAATTATAGGACATCCAAGTCAATGTGCCTAGTGGCTCTTTTTGGTGGACGAAATGTTTTTTTATACATATATACAGAAAAATCATTGTTTTTTTTTCTTTTTTTCTATATACTGACGTGACACTTTCTTATAAAAAGCGAGACTCTTAATATTTTAGAATTTTATATATATTTCTTGAGAAATTTTTGAGCATTTCTATTTGTTTATCTACTTTGTCTCTCCCATAATTTATTTTTCAATAATGAATTGTCTTTTATTTTTATGAGTTTTAAATTCATTCAATTATAAGAAATTTAAATATTCTAGTTACATTTTTTAGATTTTCATATTTTGCATACATATAGAGATTTTTATTAGTTTTAAAATTTAAATCAAAATATGCTATTTGTTTTTTCATAGAAATCAAATATCCATGATTAAAAAATACAATATTTAAATTTATTTATTTTTGGTATAAACCACCGGTAGGAATAGGGACCGTCAAAATATTTTTATTTTTATGTAGTCTAAATTTCAAATCAAATATGATGTTTTTAAAAATTTAATAATTTGAAAAATATTAAAAAAAACATGTGTTTTAAAAATACACCTTAAAATTGGCTCTTGATTAATACCCATTCGATGAATGAAAATTTAATTCACTTAGAATTGTCATTTTCAATGTAACGTTTCTTTGAGGAATGATAATTCAATTCTATTAATTCAATATTGTCTATTTTTTCACATCTTTTCAATGATATTTCATGCATTTTACATTATATATTTATATATATATATATGCAGAATGAAACCTTTAATAATTTTAAAATTCAAATTCAAAATTATAATTCTTCACATTCCTGCCTTAAATGTTTCAATCTAAATTTAATGATCGTTTTACAATTTAAAATTCTATTAAAATATTAAAACAAAGCCTATATATTTGTTGTTGCCAAAATTTTTCTCTTCCTAACCCACACGAGAATTCTTCGATGAGATGGTAAAGTTTCCATCTCTCATCAAGTTTAAGATTAATTTCATACAGTTTGAAAAATCAAAAGGATAATATAGTGAATAATCTTTTTATTTTTCTTTGGTTTTGTTTGACAATGATTTTTAGTTTTTAAGTAAAGTATTAGGTACAAATTTTATTTTCCTTCATATGATAAGTAATCAATCAACATTTAAGAATAGTCTCATTTAGTTTTAAAAGCAGAAGATAAAATGGTGAGTATTATTCTTCATTTTTTTATTTCTCTTTTGATTTGTTTGATTATGATTTTCAGTTTTTGAAAAAATTATAAGGATACAAGTTTAGTTTTACTTCTCATGACAAGTTGAATATTTGATATCTTTAATTTATAGTTTATAAGACTACATTGAATTTATCATGAAAAAGTTACCTATGTGGTTTTTCTTATTTTTATTTAAAATTCAAAAAATTGGATTAACGGGGAAATTAGTGATTTTAACTTTTAAAACTTTTTTCTTTTTTGCTAATTGAGAATTTGAATATTTATATATCATTATATATAAACAGAATGTTCAAGATTTTCTCTTTATTTGCTATTTTATTTTTTGTTGGTAAATTTTTTAAATTTCTTTCTATAGTTGAAAGCTTAATTACTTCGTCACTTTGACTTTTTAAGCTTATTGCCGGTGGAAAGAAGAACATTATGATATTTTATTTTTATTTGTATTTTGTGTTTTGCTTAGTTTAGTTTAGTTTAATTTTGTTTATTTTTGTAGGATTTAATTGTATGCAATTCTAAAGGATTTAAATAAATTTTATGCAACGATGAATTAAATATTATGTTTTAATATATAATTATATTTAATTATATACCCTCAATTAGATAAATTTCTAAAAAAACAGAAATTAAGCATTTAAATCATTTTATATCGCCTACAATACTTTATGTCTAATACTAATAATAATAATAATTTCAGTCACTTTTTCCTTGAAAAATGATGTTTTTTTTTATAATTTACTCAAGATATATATCTTACATTTTAAATGAAAAATATAAGTATTGTATAGTCGTGCGAAGCATGGAGGATTGCCTAGTTTAAAATATATTTTACATTATATTTTGTGAGACATAATTATTTTAAAATAATCATTATATTATTTTAACAATATGTTTTTAAAGATATGTTAATTTTTAAAATACGTTAAGGCCCATACCATTTAAAATATATATTTTAACAAAATATTTAAAATAATTATAGTACTTATATATTGTTAAACTATTTTAACATGATATGTACTGTATTGTTAAATAATTTATTAAAAAATTAAATTACATTATCGAACTAAATTAATATATCATTATAGTATTTGTACTATGAAAACACATTTTAAATAAAATCTAATTATTATAAAAATTTATCTTTAATCTAAATTCTTAAAAATAATATTATTTATATGGTAGAAAATTAAAATTTTTAATTTTGTATCATATTTTCTAAGAATATTTTTGTAATAGCCAAACATTGGGTTTTTCTGTGGATAACTAAAGCTTGTCGATAGTCTGCCCTAATTTCTCCAAAACAAAAAATGGCTTGAGAGACTTTCCAAAGGGAATGATAGTCTGCTGCTTATAACATTCTAACTTAAAAAACAACCAATCTCTGGTAGAAAAGTGCCTTTCAATATTATTCTATTCTATTATATTCTAAGCCAGATATAAATTATCCTTCAAAACCAACTAAAGATTAGGCAACAAAGGAGGTGGATAACCATTCAGGTTGAAAAGAGTTTTGTCATTGGTCACGAAGTTTATGGCATTATCTAAAAAGAGTTTTGCAGTTTAAATCGACAGTCCAAGTTTACTATACACTAAAAAACAAAATTTCCAAAGGGTTTCTTATTCTTTAGTGGAATGAAAAGGTGGAATGAAAATGTGGGAAAAGACGTTAATATTCCCTTGAAGCCACTCAAAAGTAAAATTTCACATCAAACAAATATAAGTATGTCGGTGATGACTGGAGACTGACAAGTATCAATCGCAGATTTCATTCGGCTCGATTTCTGTTCAGTCTCACCATTAGAGATGTATTTTCTTTCATTTTCATGGTATGGTTTTTGTTTTTCCTTTCTTTCCTTTCAGTTTCAAATTTCTTCGGATTGCGAATCTTAAAATGTCTTACATGGGCGATAAGGGATGTTTTTGTATTGTATTCGGGTATATTTTGTTGAATATGAGAAACCCATTTGCTAAATTGTGTAATGATAGTTTTAGAGTTCGAAAGATTTGTGGGATGTCCCATTATTTGTTTTTTGTTTTGTTATTAATAATTGCTTTCTTGATATTGGATGCAGAAATTGAGAACCTCGCCGTATAGATTAGCTTCAACTACTATGGCAGAGTATGATGATGTTGATTATGTAGATATCAATGAAGTCCCTTCTCCTAGAATACACGATTGTAAGAAAGTCTCAATTGTACCCCTTGTTTTCCTCATCTTTTATGAGGTTTCTGGAGGTCCTTTTGGTGTTGAAGATAGTGTCCAGGCGGCTGGTCCGCTTCTGGCCCTTCTTGGCTTTTTGATATTTCCCTTAATATGGAGTATCCCTGAGGCCTTGATTACAGCTGAGATGGGCACCATGTTCCCTGAAAATGGGGGCTACGTTGTTTGGGTTTCGTCAGCGTTGGGTTCATATTGGGGTTTCCAACAAGGATGGATGAAATGGCTTAGTGGGGTTATTGATAATGCTCTTTACCCGGTTCTTTTTCTTGACTATTTGAAGTCTGGAATACCAGCATTAGGCAGTGGCTTACCAAGAGCTGCAGCAGCGCTCGTTTTGACATTTGTTCTCACTTTCATGAATTATAAAGGAATGACTATTGTTGGGTGGGTTGCAGTTCTTTTAGGGGTATTTTCAATTCTCCCTTTTGTGGTTATGGGAGTTGTGGCAATTCCAAAGTTGGATCCTTCAAGATGGCTTGTGGTGAATTTTCATGAAGTGGACTGGAATTTGTATTTGAATACCCTCTTTTGGAATTTAAATTACTGGGATTCAATTAGTACACTCGCTGGAGAGGTCGATAACCCAAAGAAAACTCTACCTAAAGCTTTATTTTATGCTCTGGTATTGGTTGTTCTTAGTTATTTCTTCCCTCTTTTGGTTGGCACTGGGGCTGTGCCCCTTGACCGTGCTTTATGGACTGATGGATATTTCTCTGATATTGCTAAAATGCTTGGGGGAGTTTGGTTGAGGTGGTGGATCCAAGGAGCTGCAGCATTGTCAAACATGGGAATGTTTGTCGCTGAGATGAGCAGTGACTCTTTCCAGCTTTTGGGTATGGCAGAACGAGGAATGCTGCCAGAGTTGTTTGCTAAGAGGTCTCGTCACGGAACACCTCTTACTGGGATTTTGTTTTCAGCTTCTGGTGTGATTTTGTTATCATGGCTAAGCTTTCAAGAGATTGTAGCTGCAGAGAATTTCTTGTATTGTTTTGGAATGATATTGGAGTTCATAGCATTTATACAACTAAGGATAAAATACCCAGCTGCATCTCGGCCTTACAAGATACCTTTGGGAACCACTGGAGCTACACTTATGTGTATTCCACCAACCATATTGATTTTAGTTGTGCTGTCTCTTTCAACATACAAAGTAATGGTTATAAGCCTCGTTGCGGTGGCTATTGGGCTTGTCCTGCAACCCTGTCTCAAATACGTTGAGAAAAAGAGGTGGATGAAGTTCGCCACCAGTGCTGACCTCCTAGACCTTCATAATGGAAATCAGGAGAACAGTTCTCTGGTAAATTAACCAGCAAATCATATGCTATGGTTTTCAACTTGGAAAGGTAATACGGATACCGAGTGCAAGGTACCTAGGTGCATTATAAGCATGTTAGTATTTATAAATTCTCAAATATCTTTATGTTTTATAAACACACCAGCATTGTCGATTTCGCAGGAGCACTCTAATGTAATGTTGATATTGTTAAATGCATAGGAGGCATGGTTAAAGCTAACTATCATCTCTTTAGACTGATGATAGATGAATTGATGAGCCAATATTTAGAATAAGAACCACTGGTTGTGAGGAAGAGCAACAATGTGGTTATGTTTGTTTCAGTAGATTTTCAGCTTTTTTGTCTTTTGAATTTCATTCTATCTGAAGAAGAGAACATGTGAAGGTTCTTGTCAACTGATTCATTTTTCCATTGCATTATGAAATTCTTGACATCTGCTGAAAGTTTTGCACCCTTGCTCAGATTTCTGCTGTGTGTATATATATATATATATATATATATATAGTGCTTTGAGCAGAATCACGGTCATAGTTATGGCTTATGAAATTATTCTTGTTCATAAAGTTAAGTTAGAGGTGTAATTATTTGCAAATCTAATTTAAAAAAATAAATAATTTTAAAATCTTATCACATTTTTAAAAATATTATTCGTTTTAAAAACTTCTAGGGAACAAATTCTAATGATTGTATGTATTTTTATATTATAATACAATTAACGAAATGTTACTTAGAATTTCTTCATATAGAAATTTTAAATGAGATTCAAGGATTAGTTACTTGATTTACAAGTCGACTCATTAATCAGTCTGACTTGACTCGTTAAAACGAAATTTAGAAAGAAACTTGAGTTTGATTGATTGGTTTAGTTTGTTTTTTATTTTAAAATTTTGATTCAATTTGACTTTTACTTCTCTTGGCATAGTTGCAGGAACTCATTTGTATAAAGCAATCCAATGATAAAAGATATAAACAAATTATTTTCACATGTGTAAAGCAATCCGAGTATAAAAGATATAAAAAAGTTATTTTGTCGTTCAAATTAATTAAAAGACTAGTGACCATGAAAAATTTATAGCATATGTCAAAAAATCTAATATTTTCTCTTTTAATTTTAATTTTATTATTCAAGAGAATATTGATTTGTTAAAAAATCAGCAAACCCTATGTTAATTATGATAGTAAGTTCTATCATTTGGTTCATAAAATAGTATAAAATGAAATATAAACAAAATAGTAACTCCATCTATGATAGTTCTAACTGTTAATAGCTTTAGGTCAAGTTTAGATACAAAAATTAATTAAGATTTTATGGAATAATTAATTTTTACAATTTCAAGTATTGATTGAAAATCTAAATATGTTAATTTATCATATGAAGTAAATATTTTCATCACATGTATTTTGAATTTTAGTTACTACTGTTGATTTATTATATGAAGTAAATATTTTCATCATATATAAAAATCATTAAACTTTACAAATTTGCCTAAAGTAAGTGAGGAAGTAACTTATGACATATTTACTAAATTAAGATAAAGGCTTTTCTATACTTAATCTAAAGACTCAAATAGCATACTTAAGAGAGCTCGACTTGAGATATAAATAAACTTCGACTCAGTATTTTTTTTTCTTTTGTTCGCTGTGTGACAAGTCCTAAATCTCTCTTATTCTCGTGACAAGTTTAACCTAAAACCTGCTTATTTCATTGTCTTTCTGGTTGAATATTCTAGTTTTGCATGGTGGTATGGAGGATTTCAACAAGACACAACAATCAAATGAGGAATTATACGCGAGTCTGCGTGTGGAAGAGGAACAGGAAAGGTATGAGGTGGAAGAGGACAACCAACAATCTAATCTTATTAATTCACCTTTGTGTGTGGTTGGGAGACTGCTTACTGAAAAACCAACAAACTTCATAGCCTTTAAGAAAACTATGGCTACAGTTTGGAGACCTGTTCGAAGCATGCTGGTTAAAGATTTGGGAATAACGCCTTTGTGTTCCAATTTATGCATCCAATTGATTTGGATAGGGCCTGGAAGGGGTCCTTGGAACTTTACACAAAACCTGTTGTTTTTTAAAAATGTTCCCGAGGGCTGTGATCCAAAGCAAATTATGCTCGCAAAGATTGGATTCTGGGTGCAGATTCACAATCTCCCTCTTGGCTTTATGTTGGAAAAGCTTGGCAAAAATGTGGGAATTATATTGGAGATTATATGAAGACTGATCCTAAGAACTTCTCAGGTGCTTGGAAAGAATAGATGCGCATCCTGTAACGCCCTATTTTTCCTGTGTTGAAATAGTAGTTTATCTGTCTGTGAATAATACTGTCGGTTCGGGAGTCGGTATTATTTTGGTCCAGAAAAATTATTATATATGGTTACTATTTTATGTCACATTTTTGGAGCATGCATGCATGCATGATTTTTATGGTTTAAAAGCAACTATGGCTACAGTTTGGAGACCTGTTCGAAGCATGCTGGTTTAAAGAATTTGGGAATAACGTTTTGTGTTTCCATTATTTATGCATCCAATTGATTTGGGATAGGGCCTGGAAGGGGTCTTGGAACTTTACCAACAAAACGCTGTTTGTTTTTTTTAAAAAACTGTCCCGAGGCTTGTTGATCCAAGCAAATTATGCTCGCAAAGCATTGGATTCTGGGTGCAGATTCACAATTCCCTCTTGGCTTTATGTTGGAAAAGCTTTGGCAAAAAATGTGGGAATTTGATTGGAGATTATATGAAGACTGATCCTAAGAACTTCTCAGGTGCCTTGGAAAGAATAGATGCGCATCTGTAACGCCCTATTTCCTGTGTTGAAATAGTAGTTTATCTGTCTGTGAATAATACTGTCGGTTCGGGAGTCGTATTATTTTTGGTCAGAAAAATATTATATATGGTTCCTATTTTAATGTCACAATTTTCTGGCAGCATGCATGCATGCATGATTTTTATGGGTAGGAAAGTAAAGTAATGAATATTTTTGGAAGAATTTTTTAGAGAATTAGTGAGTAGTAACTTATATATTATATGTGATATTAAATTAAGGAAATTAAGAGGCAATAGTTTGTATGGACTAAATTTGAAATGGTGTTATAATTAATTTAACGGAAATTAGAGGAATTATTATTTTTATGGAGTAAATTTGAGAATTTTGTTGTGTTATATAATATTTTGAAGGAATTTAATTTGGAGAATATTTGTAGCTATTAGATTAGATTTACATTCAATCCTAGCCATCCAATTTTGGTGAAAAGACCAAACTCCCCTTTTAGTCAACTCCATTATTTGAGCAATATTTTTCTTCCTCTTCCTCTCCAACTAACGTGAACTTCATCTTCTTCTCCTCCATTTCACCTTTAGCCTCTCTTTCTCTTCTCTTTGTTTTCTCCATTTTCTACTTGAATAATTCACCAAATTCACTCCACACTCCATTTACCTTGAATAAAGTAAGAAAATCTAGAGATTAAAGCTTGAGAAGTGGGTTTTTAGGGGATAAATTTCAAAGGAATTTGGAGAATTCATAGGGTGAAGTAAACTTCTTATTTTGGATTTAGAGTTTTATTTTAGCATATAACATACTTAATCAATGCTCCAATTTCTTCTTTTCTTTTGTTTTCTTTAATTTTGATTTTGAGCTTAATTTTACATGTAGAGGGTGGAGAGCCTTCTAACGACGACGGATGTCACATTCGGTGCCGGAGGCACTGTCTTAACTTAACATATAAATCAGAAAATCCTAGTATGAATTAGAAGTGATTTAATATTCACAAGAAGTTTGTACTACTTTGTGAAAATTTGGGATTTGGTATGAAATGATTTGATTGCTGGAATTTGCTTGTATAAATGTGTTCTTGAGTGTTTTCTAAGCCTACCTATATGTTGAATTTATGAGGAAATTATTTTTCTCTTCTTCTTCCAAAAGTGGCAGAATTTTACCAAGGGAAAATGTTAATGGGTGTGTTTAAGGACTGTTTTTCTATTCGTTTTATTTTTTATTTTCGCCTCTATATTTGAAGTCCTTCATCAAAAGTTGTAGTATTATTTCTTAGCTTTCCAACCCATCCTCTTGTGCCAATTTTGATATATATAGCTCAACTTATGACTAAAACACCTAAACTGACTCTGTTGTAACGTACCACATGCAGCAATAGATTGAGTGACTATTTTGACCGCCATAATGGCAAGATTAGGTGTTGAGCTCTTCATGAGATTTGTTACCCTGTGTCTTGAGATTGCCCTGGTGTTGTATTGGTTTAATTTGAGTTTCTGGTTACGGAGAAATTCAATAAACATTGGACTTGGTTCTGCTGAATCCGGTCTGGACTATCAGTCTGTGTTCCTAGCTTATTTTGCCTATCTTGTAGATTTATCTGGGTTATGGTTCCTTCATAACAATTGTATAATTGTGTCTTATCTTTCTAATGAATCTAATTTCATTCAATTTGGAGATATATAACTCAATTGGAGACCTATAACTCAAGTTATGTCTTAAAAACACAGCAAAGGTCAAGGTTATTTTAATGCTGGAAATTTCCAATGCCTTGAATCATGGGTTTATTTGGATAAATGTATGTATGAATCATGTGTGGTGAGGTTCTCTTGATTATTTGTATGTTTGAGGAGTATTTGACAAAAATAAGATATAAGTTTGAAAAGTGTTATTGTGGATATGTTTAAATGGATATTGTGAACCCCTACCCCAAAATATCATAGGCATGTGAATGCATATGATTAAGGACAGAAATGCACGTGAGTGTGTGAGTCGCCACCTTGTTTAATTCTAGGCACGTGGGTGTCTTGTGTTAGGGCCGTGGGTGCCTTCTGTTCTGTTAGGGCGGACGCGCTCTATATGTTCTGACTCTGTTGGCGACCTAAGGCCATTCTGAATCTGTTCTGAAAACCTATCTGCTTCTTTTTCTCCTAAGTGTATGTGAGCCCTTGTACAGGTAGCTTGGAAATAAATGATTATATGTTATTAAATGAATTGTCAAAGCAGGATATTACGTTACATGGTTTTCTAAATAACCAGTATATGTATTGGTATACTACAATTTCAAATAATGAATTTATGATTTGAACGAATAAAATATTAATAGTTTTATTTGATCATTTTGTTATAAATGTAAATGTATATTAAAGCGTTAATGATTTTATGATCGTAAATCTTTTGATGAAAATTGATATTTTAAGTGTGTTGTCATCGCAACATTGGTTTGTTGTGTTTTATGAGCACCACTGAGTTTTATACTCAGCGTGTTGATTTTATCACGCGTAGGTTGGAGTCTATATATATTGCTGATATGAAGACCAAAAGAGTACCATCAGAGCTGAAGAGATATTTTGGTGTTGATTAGTGTGTTATGTAATTAAAGTATATGGCATGTATAAGTAGTCCATTTTTTGGAAGACTCTATTATGTAATTATACTGT